CATACCATGACATGTCACTATTTGATAGAACTGGACAGAAACCTACACACTGTGGTCCCCTAAAGGCACATACCTGGCCACATTTCATGGACAGGGCGTGGCACTATGGGGAGGAGAGGAATTTAAACGAATTATGAGGTTTAGTCATCCTGGAGTACAACTTCTTGACTTCTCACCGTGTGAAAGGTAAACCACAAGGTTGCATTGAGAGTTATTATTTTAAATATTTTATTATAAATTGTTTTATTGCTATAWGAATGATATCAATTATGATAGTGGTGAATAATCATTAGCACCCATTGTTGTTGCTTTGTACAGAGAAGTTACAAAGTATATTATTTTTATTATTATTTGTAAGAATAGTAATGATTATGGTAGTGATTGTTCACTATCATCCCTTCATTGTTATCACATTTTCATTGCATTTTGCAAGAGGTACAGTGCATAGTTCTTGGTCATAAACATATAACTTGCTTAAGCTTTTGCAATAGGACTCTTACATGTCATGTCCTGTGTGACTTTTCTTCATTAATCAGCTAGCTGGTAGATTGTTGTAATTTTCATTCATGAATAATATTCATGTTGTTTGTCTGTGTTTAGGTATCTTGTCAGTTTTAGTCCCATTGCAAGTAATCCAGAAGACCCTTCAGTAAGTATCAAGTCACTTCAATTCAAAGGATTCTTCTTTCTTCTACATCAAATCACTCTCTTGTTTATCAAGAACTGCCTTTAGTAGTTTATCAAGAACTGCCTTTAGTAGTTTATCAAGAACTGCCTTTAGTAGTTTATCAAGAACTACCTTTAGTAGTTTATCAAGAACTGCCTTTAGTAGTTTATCAAGAACTACCTTTAGTAGTTTATCAAGAACTGCCTTTCGTAGTAATACGATATAGAGGATATATACATGACCCTGAGATATGGATATTATCTTTGAGTGTTGTAAAGATTTCTCACAAGTGTGTGTAGCAAAGATAAAATTYGTACCTCCAAGYGACCATATAATATTATGAATTATGTTGTATACCAATAGTTCAACTACCACCAGTATAGAGATACCACAGATGTGTCTATTTTCACTAGTAAAAAAATACAAAATCTAAAAATATTTTTAACTCTTAGATAATTATATGATGAAAATAAATTAGAAATTCCTTCATAAAATCTGAGAATGGTGCCAGGCTTCTCAACAACAGCACATTCTCACTGCAACACACCATGTACTGGGCATCCCATGATTCCTATGGGCAATCTAATTCTCACTGTTTAACAACACACCATGTACTGGGTATCCCATGATTCCTATGGGCAATCTAATTCTCACTGTTTAACAACACACCATGTACTGGGTATCCCATGATTCCTATGGGCAATCTAATTCTCACTGTTTAACAACACACCATGTACTGGGCATCCCATGATTCCTATGGGCAATCTAATTCTCACTGTTTAACAACACACCATGTACTGGGTATCCCATGATTCCTTTGGGCAATCTAATTTATTCTACAAGATACACACTGTTTGTTGATGTATTTGCTATCCATACAAGTTGAATATGTTGAATTATTCCTAATGCCAGTTCTGCTACTGAATATCAGTGCTGATAAAATGGAAAATATTTCTGATGTCACTTGTAATTTTGAACTAAGTAATAAATCACCTTGAAATTGTCTTGTTATTCTAATATAACAGTGTTATTTCTCATTAGGGAATCATAATTTGGGATATAAGAACAGGACACAAGAAGCGTGGATTTCACAGTGGAGATACATCACAGTGGCCTGCCTTCAAGTACGTCTTACACCAGCACTGTTGTGTGACTAATGATTTCATGTCCAGTTTAGTTTTTGTTGCTTTACACTTTTTGCTACAGTAGTTTTGTTATAATGTTAGTGCTGTAATTGTTTCTGTTGCCACTGTTGCTGTAGTTTGTATATTGTTTCTGGTCATAACATTGTTATTACTGCTGTTGTTTTGGTAGTAGAATAAGTATTAGTGATAAYTATTTTCAAATCATAATTGTTTCTTGCAGGTGGTCCCATGATGGCAATTTCTTTGGTCGCATGGCAACTGATAGTATAAGTATATATGAGACACCGGTGAGTTTGTCAGTCTGTCATTTGTTACTTAAATGATTACTTTATGGGTTTGATATTTACTGATGATTGGTTGACTAATTGATTGGATTATTGATTGGATTATTAATTAATTGCATGATTGATTGATTGGATGATTGATTGATAGATTGATTGATGGATTGATCGATCCTGTAGTAAGTTTTGGTTGTTTTATTTTAGTCATTTGGTCTTCTTGATAAAAAAAGTCTAAAAGTGGAAGGAGTAAAGTAAGTTTCAGTGCTTTATTGGTATTATATTCATGTGTATAGTTGACAGTAGTCATGAATCATCATGTCCCATAATGTGACAATATGCCGCAAATGTATCTGGAAAAAGTGTCAAAAACTAGAGTGTTTGTCTATCTTTGTAAATGACATTAAAGTAACATACACTCTTACAGTGACCCCATCCATGATGAATAAGAGTGGATATTATAAATGTTTTTTTTTTGCTTTGTGTATTGAAGGGATTTTCAGTGGTCACCAACAAATAATTACATTGCTTACTGGACACCAGAAGACAAAGAYACACCAGCAAGAGTAGTAATCATGCAGATGCCAAGCAGAAATGAAATTAGAGTTAAAAACTTGTTCAATGTTTCTGATGTAAGTATCATAATACATTTACTGGAAAACTATATTTTTCCATGTACACTTCCTGTAAGGCTGGTCAGCAGCTTGAACACCTTAATCAGAACCTGCATTTCTAATCTGTGCCTTTTGAGATTTGTTGATTATTGTTAATTRTATACTGATGGTAATTGTTGTTGCTAGTGTAAAATGTATTGGCACAATAAAGGAGACTACTTGGCTGTGAAGGTTGATAGGTACACTAAAAGTAAAAAGGTAACAAGAATATAACGAAATTATTTATTTCAAAAATAACATTTATTTGAAGCAACTACTAGCTTGATTTAGTTCGACTGGATGTAGGCTTCTCATTTCTGAGAAAATTATTATTTTTTGACCACAATTAAACAATGCTATGCAGAATTTGAAATCCAAACTTCTTGTTTGTATCATGCGACAATGCATTTTGTTGTTAAATATGCTCTGACTTGCAAACCCTGTCAATAAACAAATGAGCATACAAAGGTCTCACACATTGACTGGTTAACTTTCTCAAAACTTTCTTGTATGGCCACAATAGTGCATGTCACATGGTCATTGTATTCCACAATTATTTCAATTATACCAAAGAACACAATTTCTACTATTTAGTGCATTTATATAGTTGACAATTATTGTTGTTTGCCGTGGCTCTGTTGATTTTTTTCTTGGTTTTGATGTGAAATGTTATTCCTCCAGGCATTGTATTACAACTTTGAGCTGTTCAGAATACGAGAAAGACAAATACCTGTAGAAAGTGTGGAGATGAAAGGTAAATCATGCATTGATTGGATTTGTCAATTTATAATGTACTACAGTGGTAAACAATTATGGCGGTCTTTTTTTGTTACGTGGCTATTTTATAAGGGAAAGTTTTTGATCGCACAGCGGTTATGAAAAGTTATATAGAAACCAGTCCAAAATTACTAAACTGTATTACAATGTACTATGGTGCTAAAGGAGTAATACTGAAAATTACCTGTACACTTTGTATTAACTGTACATTAAAATGTGTGCAGTACTGACAGAAATAGAGTACATAATTCTACTAAAAGCCATTATAAATACTGTAATATTGTTTAATTTTTTATTGCGTGGTAATAGGAGGTGTGCACTCTTTGAATGTTCTATAATGTATATTTCCATGTTAATAATAAGAGTTTCTATTGTTAATATAGAACCTATCATGGCGTTTGCGTGGGAGCCCAATGGATCAAAGTTTTGTGTAATACACGGCGAATCACCAAGAATAACAGCAAGTTTTTACAACATGGAGAATCAAGGCAGCGTGGAGTTACAAAGTATGTACTTTGTGGTTTGTATTTGTGATTCTGTAATGTGTTTGTGAGTTCTTGTTTTGCTGGTTTCTTTGACAACTGTATGCTTATCTTGTAACATGATTTCATCTTTTCTTAGAAACCTATGAGAAAAGACAAGCCAACAATATCTTCTGGTCTCCTAATGGACAGTATTGTGTTTTAGCAGGCCTGCGCAGGTAAACAGACATTTTTAAATCTAAAATGCACAAACAAGGGAAGCTTCAGATGGGTACCCCTTACAATTTTGATTACCTCTACCCCTACTCCATTTTAGCAAAGTTTYAGGAATTTGTCAGTTATGTAACGATTTTATCTTTGAGCCACCAGACTATATTCAGTATTTCATTGCTTTTGGCTCTTGAGTGCAACCATATGATTGCATAGTAAATTGATTGTACAATAAATCGCAAACATATCCTCTATTTAACAAATAGATCTCATTTTTCCGTGCGTGTGTACTCTAATAGATACACAGATGACATCAAAATGTAGTGAGAACAAAAAAGTACGCACGAGACGCAGTCGAGTGCGTGACTGTTGTTCTCACTACATTTTGACGTCATCTGTGTATCTATTAGAGTACACACGCACGGAAAAATGAGATCTATCTGTTTTATACAACAAACAATTAGTTTTGACGTAATCCGTGTATCTATACTTTGATAACACACGAAAGCCAACCAATCAAAACGTCTGATTTTACTGAAAAGTTGTATAAATTATTATTACTAATTTTTTGTTGATATTGATGATATGCAAGTGTACACCTTTTGCTGTTCATTAACCGCGAAGGGACTTTCAATCAAGCGAAACTGCATTGTCTTTAGCGYGAACGAACGTTCATTAACGCTTAGGGAGTTTCAAGAGCGTGAAGGGAGAATCATTAACATATTTAGCATAGACATGGACAATCATGCATAACTGGGCGCAGATTCATTAACGTTTTCAAACCTTCATTAGCCCATTATGTGCATTCAATAAACTACAACAAACATACAATACCAAAATACGGACATTTAATTTCGTCATAGTATTTATTTCTAGGATTTAAAGAGTGTTTAATAAGTGTGATATTTTACATACAAAAATTATCTTCATCCTTGAATATGCTCTCTATTTAAGCATCTTGGTAAATAAGTTTGCATATGGTTGCGGTAGAACTATTAACCCCCAATGTAGCGGCAACCGCTAGATAATCTTCGGCCGGGTCCTCATACGCTCTTACAAGACGCTCTTTCACTTCGCTCGAAATTCGATGTCGACGCGGAGGCATTGCATTCCAACTTTAAACAAGTCGTAGTAGCTGTAACGAGTCATATTTCATGCTGAAATTTGACTGCAAAAACTATGACGAAATTAAATGTCCGTATTTTGGTATTGTATGTTTGTTGTAGTTTATTGAATGCACATAATGGGCTAATGAAGGTTTGAAAACGTTAATGAATCTGCGCCCAGTTATGCATGATTGTCCATGTCTATGCTAAATATGTTAATGATTCTCCCTTCACGCTCTTGAAACTCCCTAAGCGTTAATGAATGTTCGTTCGCGCTAAAAACAATGCAGTTTCGCTTGATTGAAAGTCCCTTCGCGGTTAATGAACAGCAAAAGGTGTATTACTAAGTTAGTTGTTGTTATTACAGCATGAATGGTATCTTGGAGTTCCATGACACATCTGACTGGGTTTGTATGAACCAAGCTGAGCACTTCATGGCTACTGACGTTGAATGGGATCCTACTGGACGTTTTGTAGCAACATCAGTCAGCTGGTGGGCACATAAGGTAACTCCTCTAAATAGTCTTCACTGTCTCCTGTGCCATCTTGAAAAGTAGCCATGCCTTCTTCAGAGAGAATAGACAAATCAGTTTGCGGTGATAGAAATCTTTGTTCACACCTAAGAACATCATTATTCCCTGGTGTCCATCACTGCACGATCACCAGTTATCTTGCCTTGATGTTAAGTCCTTTCAAGATCGTACAAAGAACCTTGATAAAGACTATTGTAGTCACAATGCCGGGGAGAAAAATACTAGTAGTTYTTGGATTATTCATTTCATTGTTTTTAAATATCAGTCTACGTTAGGCATATCTAATAGTCATTCATGTCATCTGTGATAGAGAAGGTATATAATGAGCTTGTTAACATTGCATACTCATGGTTTGTATATCAGACCTCAGTCTTTCTCAGTCTTTTCCCATACAGGCCTTGTGCTAGTAGTTAAAAGTATATTCAATTGTCTGTTGGGTTATCCTCTCTGAATTGATCTATATTAACAAACATGATCAGAGTAGCTGCAATATGACATTTAGTGGCCATTCCATATCACAGTGAGCTAGATCTGCATTGTCTAAATGAGCCAGTTAAATCCAGTCTGTATTTTAAGCTGAACCTTATGAAAGTGCACAAATTATTACATTTGTGAGTCAGTATTGATTTGTAAGTCAGTATTGATTTGTAAGTCAGTATTGATTTGTAAGTCAGTATTGATTTGTAAGTCAGTATTGATTTGTAAGTCAGTATTGTAAGGATTGAAAGAGGAGAAATGTTTTTTTACCACATAAAGCCTTTACATTAGATACTGTCACTGTTCATGGTCACTTGCTGTCATCCAGTAATTTATTGATCTTTTTTTCATTAAGGTGGACAATGGGTACTTTATTTGGTCATTCCAAGGAAAGCTGTTACAAAGACATGCCCTTGATCAGTTCTGCCAGTTGCTATGGAGACCGCGACCTCCAACTCTTCTTAGTGAAGCAGATCTAAAGGTAACTGTTGTTGCATGCTGGATAACTTCGCTGGGATACCTGTGTAAATAGACGTTTTTTTGTGTGTGTGCATTGAAAGGATGCCTCATGAATGTGTACTCATTGGTATGAAACAGCATTATTGTCCTGCCTGTGTTCCTGTGTCTACTTTCTAATTGGGTTTCCTGTGTTGTTTTTCAGAAACTAAAGAAAGAAATGAAGAAATACCAAAAGCAGTTTGAGATCAAAGACAGGATGAGCCAGTCCAGGGCTTCAAAGGTTGGTGGTTACAGCTGAACATAGTTTCYTTCACCTTCTTTGAACATCGATTTGCACTATGGCGTATTACGTAGACCAGAATACTTTGTTTGTTGTTTTACTAATCCACAAAAAAAGAAAGAAAATCTAAATGAAAATGAGTGTCAGAAAAAACATCTTTTAACCATGGTTGAATTAGAAGTTGTGCACAGATAAAAAATAATAATAATATAGCTGAYAACGCCTGATTCTTTTTACATATTGATTATTATCATCATCAATACAAGGATTATAACACTTTCTTATCATGGTTGATTTGTAGGAAATCATTGAACGTCGCCGACGCAAGATGAAAGAATTTGAAGGCTACAGACAGAAGAAAATTAATGAGTACCAGCAACAAAAAAAGCAACGTATGGAAATGCGACAAGGTTAGTTGGTGTCTGTGGGTGTASACTACTRCTAGAACAAASATTGTGATTTGATGAAATAACAAAGAAGATGYCCAGTAGAACAATAGGCATAATCCTACWATTGTTTGTTTTTGTTGTCTCGAYCAATCACAAGCTTCGTTAWAGTGTCCTCCATCTTGGCTTCACTTACAGACCAATTGTATTTGATGTATGCATGGAGGTAGAGTGACTGTGAATGTATGGTTAGGTTAGAGTTATGTTCTTACTCTGATCACAAGCATACCACTACATGGTATTGGACAGACACTAGACTCTTTTACTTTAATGCAAAATCATGGTGCATTGTGGTCCAGCAAAATGAACAAAAGGCATTTGTACTGAATATAAACCACAATGCAATGTATCTATGGCACGTGACTTCGCGACTACAGCATAGTGCAAGTACACTAGTTTTGTACGCTGCTGTCATTGCTACATGTCACGGATTTCATCAGTCACGTGATCACCGGTAGTCACATGATCAAGGTGGTGTAATTCACGACTTTCCATACCCAGGCTCAGTAACCACGAACAAAGCATTGAAACGAGGCGTCAGTGTACACTAAGAGCAGATCTTTTCTTTTATGCTGACTGTACCTTGACGCCTCGGTTCAATGCTTTGTTCGTGGTCGTTGAACCTGGGTATGGAAAGTCGTGATTGCATCGATTATCTTTCAGTTCTTCTAGTATTTGCGGTGAGTTGTATTTTTATGATTGTCGATCAAAGATTAAGCTGAATTGTATGTTTTATGTTAAGGTTTGGAGACAGACAATCTTGAAGGCATTTCTAAAGAGGTCGATGTAGAAACAATTGAATTCTTTGTCAAGGAAGAAGTAACCGAGGTNACAAAGTTTAATATCTTATTGAAGCTAGTGACACTTGAAGTTATTCAATCATATACTCTCACCAGCAGCATTCATATGAACATGAAAACCTTGCCAAGCAGGGAAAAATGAATACAACACTGTTCTATATTTTGTATATTGTACTCATCATCACTGACTGGAAAGTCATATCATTGATAAATCTATCAATAATACGTCCAAAAATCGTCAAATTAATTTAATGTATGTTCATTTTCAAGTACAGACAAAATGCCAGACATTACTTACATCTCTGACTCGCCCCTGTCTCCTGCAAATTTGGCGATGTTTTCCATCTTGTCTCTTTTGCTTTCGCTTGAAAGCATCTTTCAATGACTTATAGTAACATGCACCAGCAGCTGTCAAAGAAACATACAAAATGTTAGAGGATATTATATGGATGGGCAGAGATATGGATTTTCTTTGATAAATTTTTTATCATTTGTGTCATTAAATTGGCTGTGAAAGGAAATAATGTTCTAAAATAAATTTTTACCTCCAATATAATAGAGGTACAGTGAATGCAGTATTTTCACTAGTAAAAATATCATGATATTATTATTACCTTGTAATTGGGCACGTGTCCAAGAACATTGTCCCTCGCCACCATGTAATCTTATTGCTTCATTACTAATTTTCTCTACAACATCATTGTTCTTCCTGCTGTGGTAGCTATAAAATAAATTATTTGAATGGTGTTACAATGTTAATATGCATACAAAGAAAAACAAGGAATATCCTACTTCCAATCAGAAGACTTTTTAAGCAAGCAATTGGCAGTGTGGTATATTTAAAATTCTCTTGGACTATAAATAAAAATGTGTGACACTATATATCTATGATAACAAAGTTAAAAAAATATATATATATATCTTTCTCAAAAGTGGATTCTTATTGCAATCAACATATATAATTATATTTTTAATATAAATACCAACCTCTCAGTCAAACTGAAGCCTTGGAAGTTTTCCTTTTCTTCAATCAAGTTCCTATAAACTCTTCTGAATTCCTTCTGTAAAATCAAATCAATAATATTAGGTCATTTGATTGATAGTCAGAGTCAATACTTTTGCGCTTGGCCAATGGGTTCCCTGTGGTCAATGCGCATGCGCGCACAGTGTCTTCATTGCACATGGCGTCTGTTTACATTTCACACCTCTGACAAGGAACCCAAGAATTTCAATAATTTTTCGATCTAAAAAAGATGAAATTTAATCAGAATGTTCTTCAAAAGCTTCTGTACTTAAATGTATCCAATAGATTCAACCAAATGATATAAACTTTAACGTAGATCATATGTTACAGCTCAAATTAAACCCCGGGGTAGTCAATCGATAAAAATCGATTAAATTTACCCCAATCGATAAATCGATAAAAATCAAAGCAAGAGATCTGATTGATATCGATTGTATCTATAAATCGATAAAAATCGAACTCACACAAAAAAATAATATCGANTTCCACACACAATACGAAAACAAGGAAGTTTTAGAAATTGTTTCCTTTATTTACCAAGAAATTGTAGAAAAGTAGCAAAGCTGGTCTTGAAATATGTTAATTTGATGTCTATTAATGAGATATTAAAATGGCTTACCCTGCATGGAATCAAGACTTTGTAGTACGTTTACTTAGTATATGTTAAAATAGTCTCCTTCACGGTTAGGTGCGCCATCTTGAAAGGTACGCTCAACGGTTGTCTCTTGTAAAGGCAGGCCTACCTTTCAAAATGACACATGGAACCGTGAAGAAGACTATTCTGGTGTACACAAGTCGAAATACCCTGTAAACTGATCGTGAAAACGTCTTTTTTTAAGGCGAGCCTTGGACTGTGACATGGTGCAGTGAGGCCCAATAGGAATCGCGTTTCATTACAGTTTCACCGTATGACTTAACGTTTATGGACACAGCTGCCAATCATATGCTTCTTCTCTTCAGCTGTAGATAAAATGGTAATTTTCTGATTACACATAAAACGTGCTGAACCGCTGTCCTCGGGTTGTAGCATTCAATCGGGTTAGCGTTCATGCCGGTGTCAGGCCACTGCATGGATGAGACAAACACTAGCCACGCACCCTTGCAAGTCGCAACGCTACTTTTGAATTCATAATGTCAGTTGTATCCGTTGCAGGTCATCAACAGTACGTTGAAGTGTGTTTCACGGGTTAATGATAATAATTCTTACGTAATACGTTTCGGCTGCATTTTCTTTAGCCTGCGTACATCTGGTATGAGTAAATGCTGAGTAAATGGGGTACATTTTATTACGGTTTTTGCTGGTTTGGCATCACTTTGTTTCAATTAAATTATTCCTTGGTATCCCAATTATTTTGGTTTTCACAAATGAAATCCTGGAAAAACGTTTAGTGTATATATAATTGTCTCAAAATGTGTTTTGCATTGTTGTTAACTCGGACGATTATATGGATACGAGGAAAGGAAGTGCTTTGCAGCAGCCGCGTCTGGGATTTCGAGGCACTTCACGTGGTACATGAACAGTTCACGTTTTTCGGGCCAAACCTTTATAACAATCACGTACGATTGTTTGTACTTCACTTCGCTGATCCTATATCACGTGACCATGAGCTGGCTGATCCTATATCACGTCACCATGAGCTGGATGATCCTATATCACGTCACCATGAGCTTAGGCAGGCTGATTACCTCGTGAATTAAGTCGGCAAAATACGAGATACAAAAACCATCAACTTGGCGCGCAACATTGTTTCTGTTCAAGTTTAGGTTTAGAGAAACAAAGCCAAAATTTGTATCTGAAAGTAGATTGAGAGTCTATACTTTGCGCAACAACTTTCTTCAACTCGCAACAGAGGATTTTGTTGCGTGTCAAGTTAAAATTGCGCGCAATGAAAAACAAGAAACATCGAACAGAAACAATGTTGCGCGCCAAGTTGATGCTTTTTGTATCTGTTTCGCGAAACAAATTTACTTCAACTGAGATAATGACGTGTTAGGAGTTAAGTCAGTACCGCCACAGGAAGCCCAGCCAAAGACCATGGTTATTAGAGTGACAAGTCAGAATTCTTCGGTCAACACGATCCTTTGATTATTTTTTAACTAATATTGTTACTGACAATCTGAGATTGTATTAAAAAAGAAAACTGAGGTCTGACTAACACTTTAGTGAGACTGGCCATTGAAGTGCTTGGCTACCTGTGCTAGTGACAAACTGATCTTACTATGACGTGTTTACAATTTCAAAATTGTAAATASGTCACATTGATTTTACAGCAAACTCTTTAAAGGAATGAGAAAACGATAAAGAAAATCACAATCCAGTGAGGTGGAATAGACGTGAACAATGCAATACTGTTGACTTGCCGTATTTCACGGGTTTGGTTCCTGCACCTTACGTAGACTGACGGAAACGGCAAAAACTCATTAAAGTTTATCAACGTATTTATCGTTTTCGAGACATTTCTAGCAAGATATTTAGTTTTTGGGCGAATGATTTAATCGGCGGCTCTTCGCATGTAAATAAGCTGTCTCGCGTCTATTGTAAGCTTGTCTAAAAGCTCATCATAAATTATTTAATTCTTTCTTACGAGAATTAGGTTGCTAAGAAATGGTTTACTAAGCTAAGTCTGCAAATTCACTGGACCAACTAAATAATACTCGACAAGGACAGACAGAAAAAACACGACAGATGGAAGAATACTCCAGGGAAAGAGAGTTGAAAAAGCTAGTGTTTGTAGGCTCAAARATGGAAGAAATTGCACATAAAATCAATAATCAGCATGATATTCGACTTGGCCGACAATTGCGACATTTTGATCGAGAGAAGACAATCTTTTTGAAGAGTTTTAAGACCGAGCAGCAAGCAGCTTTGGAAAAACAACAGAAAATGAAAAAAAGACTAAAAGAACTTGGACTGACAAGCACTTCATCAAAAAGAGATGTACGACACAAAGAAACTCGAAGYAAAGTAAGGTTTTTTATCACAAATTCAAAAGACAATAATAACACTTCACAGAAAAACTGTTTAACTGATTCAAGAAGAATACGAAGCGCACAAGAATTCCGTAAAAACCTGCCGGCGAAAAAAGCCGCAACATTTTACAACGAAACATGACTTTGTTTTACTTCGTTAATTGGGTTTAGGGGATAACGTCGATACAGTAGGAAAGTTTT